AAAAAATGTAAATTCGTCGATTTGTGTAATTTATGAAAATCATATGATAAAATTTTGGATGTGACAAATCGTGCGCCCGATACAGTATTAACGTTGATATTAATGTTAAGGTGAACGTTAGTATTAATGTTGATATTTGAATGTTAGTGTTAACGTTGATATTAACGTTAGTATTAACGTTGATATTAACGTTAGTATTAACATTGATATTACTGTATTAATGTTAGTATTAACGTTGATATTACCGTTAAGGTATTGTTTACCCAATGATCGACGATCATCAGGTAAACAATACTTAATACCAATGCGTTCACCTTAACGTTAATACTAACGTTCATCTTAACGTTAATACCAATATTCAATATTAATACTAACGTTCACCTTAACGTTAATACTAACGTTCACCTTAACGTTAATACCAACATTCATCTTAACGTTAATACCAACATTCACCTTAATGTTAATATCAACATTTATACTAACGTTCACCTTAATGTTAATACTAAGGTTCACCTTAACGTTAATACCAATGCATTCACCTTAACATTAATACCAACGCATCCACCTTAATGTTAATACCAACGTATTCATCTTAACATTAACACCAACATTAATACTAACATTAATATCAACACTGATACTAGCATTCACCTTAATGTTATTATCTTAACATTAATACCAACATCCATATCAATATTATTACCAACATTAATATCAATGTTAATACTAATGTTAATATCAACGTTAATACAAACGTTAATATCAATGTTAATACAAATGTTAATATCAATGTTAATACAAACGTTAATATCAATGTTAATACTAACATTAATATCAATGTTAACACAAACATTCACCTTAACATTAATACTAATATTTACTTTAATGTTAATACCTTAACATGAATGAAGATTACTCGACACCTACCTGATCAAATTTGATCAAAATTTTTTTGTTTAATTTTATGAATATATAGAATAAAAAAATTTTTATCAAATTTTATTAGGTAAGTGCCAAGTAATTTTCATTCAAAGTTTAGGTGTCTATAAAAAAAAAACTGTAGCCATATTTTTATTTTTAACTTTTAATAAATATTTATCGATAACTGGCTATTTAAATTTGATCAAATTTTTTATATTTTAATGCTAAGTTCATAAAATTAAAATAAAAAAAATTATCAAATTCAGATAGTTGGTTGTCAAGAAAATTTCATTTAAAAATTAAACAAAAAATTTGGTACAACACTTTTTTTCTTTAAAATTTTTTAAAATGGTTAAACTAAGATTTCTCTACAAATAGCTATCTGAATTTGATGAATTTTTTTATATTAATTATGTGGATTCATAGAAATTAAAAAAAAAAAAGTGATCGAATTTGGTTTAGAGAAATATTCATCAAAAGTTAAAAAAAAATTTGGCCGCAGCTTTTTTTTTATAGGTGCCTAAATTTTGAATGAAGATTACTTGGCACTTACCTAATAAAATTTGATAATTTTTTTATTTTAATTCTAAATATCCATAAATTAAATAAAAAAATAGTCAAATTTGATTAGGTAGGTGCTGAGTAATATTCATTCAAAGTTTAGATACCTATAAAAAAAGAACTGCAGCCAATTTTTTTTCATTTTGATGAATATTTCTTGATAACTAGCTAACCAAATTTAATCAATTTTTTTTATTTTAATTCTATGAATTTGTAGAATTAAAATAAAGAAATTTCTATCAAATTCTGCTAACTGGTTGTTGAGAAATCTTTAGTTAAAGTTCAAAGAAAGAAAATTTTACACAATTTTTGGGGGTTTTTTTAAAAATATTTTAAAATTTTTAAAACTTTTAGCAATGGTTTCTTGCTAACTACTAAATATAATTCAATAAACTTTTTTATTTCAATCCGACTAAACTATAGAATTAAAATAAAAAATTTTTTCGAATTTGATTAAGTAGATATTGAAAAAGAATAAATGTTAGTATTACATTCTGTTATATAAATTTTTTGTTACAGGTATCTAATAAAACTTAAAAATCATGTAAAATAATTCATATATACACAAACATGTTATAATACATATTATGTGTTTGTCTAATAACATGATTTAAACTCTTTTTTGATTTTCTCTGTATTAGTAACTTTTTCTAGATTTTTTCTATATTAGTAACTTTTTCTAGATTTTTTCTGTTTGAGTAATTTCTAACTTATCTTTTTCACTTTTTAATATTTTTTTTTTTTAACTGAACTGAGTTGATTTTAATTCTTAAATCTAGCTAATCTTGCTTTCTTTTCTAACGAAAGTTTTACTACTATTTACATTTGCCAAAATAAGAGTGAAATAGATAATACAAACTTCCAATATGGATGATCATGCACTTAATGCTGAGGCTAGTACCTCTTACTCTGAAGCTGGCACCTTCGACAAAAATGCAGTAGACAAAAAAACAGTTGATAAAAATGTGGTTGCCAAAAATGCAGTTGGTGAAAATGCAGTTGATGATGAAACTGATTCTTGTCAAAATGAAATTACTAAAGCTAACAATATAGGTAGTAATAGTTGTTTGTTTTAAGTTCAAGTTTAACGTCTTTAGCAAATTACTTGTTTGTTTCAAGTTTAAGTTTAACGTTTTTAGCAAATTACAGATATGTTTTCTAATGAAGGAATATATGATTTTCTTTGTTAAAATTGGATATGTGTTTTGATTATGGGAGAAAAATGACTCTTTCTTTAAATTATATAATTGATATAGTGGATTCGTTGTTATTAAGAAAAGGGTTGAGCAATGTAATGATGGTATAATTAGGCATTGGTCTTTTGGGTGTGAATTTGGTAGAAAATACATATCCAAAAAGAGTATTGATATTAACATTCACTATAACCAACAATCAAAATACTATAAATCTTCTTTATTTCAAATAAATACTACTTTATTATACTTTATACAAAATCTTTATTTTATTTTCAACAATAAATCTGTTCTTCCATGAAAACAAATAATACAATTAGATATTTAGAAATTTTTTTTGATAGCACTAGCTTTACTAAATCTACTTTAGAAAAAATTATAAAAAAAAAAAAAATTTTATTAAACTTATTCAATATAAAAAATTGTTTCCTATACAAAATTTTAAACTTTTTAATACAATTCTAGCACTTCTTTAAAATATCTTCTTCAAGCAACTATACTTATAAATTAACAAGTTACAAAACTTCTACCTTTATTTACTAAACAATTTAAATATTTTTTGAGCTTTTACTAAATACAAACAATAATATACTTACAAATTTTTTACTATTAAATATTCTACACTTCAAAAACTTTGTCTACTTACAAGTTATAGTTTAATTAAAAAACAATTAACTTCTATACTCTTTTAAAACAAATCTTCAAATTTAGTAATAAAAAATAGCCTTTTAAAACTTGATAATATTTATTTCTCAAATTTTTACTTACAAATATTTCAATAATTTTACTTGTATTTTCTATCTCTCTTAGCTATTATCTAATAATATTAATTTAAACAATTTCAACTTAAATACAAACTCAAATTCTACCAAAAAATTAAACTCTGAAAACTATTCTTTTTATAAGCAACCTCCTCTTTATCTTACTGCTTATATTTATTACCCTAACTTTTTGCTATTTAGAGTTTCATTTTAAGTATTGCATCTGTCAGAATTAGGCCCACACCTCTTAATTTTATAGTACTACTATTTACAAATTCTTAAACTTTCTTTTAAATTTCTTTACAACCAAAAATCTTCAAAATAATAAAATACATTTTTTTGAACAACTTTTTATAGCAGATAATAAGTACTTACTTCCTTGGAATAATATATACTTACATACTTAAAAATCAACATGTGATTATATTTCTTCATAGTACAACTAACTAAAAAATCAAATTAACAAACAAGTTATTACTGATATTTGGCCTTATATAGTAGTATAAATCTGAGAGAATTAGGCCAGAAAACGGTACTGTCATCATTCGGGTAATGATTGGTTTACAAGTTTGTCGTTATTCGGATGACGATTGGTTTACAAGTTTGTTGTCATTCGAGTAACAATTGGTTTACAAGCTTGTCGTCATTCGAAATGTGTATAGCATTCTGCTTTTCAATCGTCACTTGCAGCCTTTCTTTTATACTATCAAAACACCTAACGGTTGTCACTCGAATGACTTTTTCTATCTAATTTGATTACTAATTAGCTTTTTAACACTAAGGAGTATATACTTAAGGTATATGCAACACAGTAGCAGAGCGAAGCAGAACATAGTTATCTTATTTGATTTCTATTTGGCTTTTTATCCTGGAGTTGCTACGCTCTTCCAGAAGCGAAGCGTAGTGAAATATAGAAAGCTTATTTGTCAAAATTTATATAAAAAAGGATCAATGACAATAGATTTATGCTCATATCATTGCTCGAATAATGATAAATTTATACTTGCGTCATCATTAATAGCAAAAATTATAAAAAAAGTTGGGACAAATTGGGTACCAAAAATATGGTTATATAGCAAAATTTGTAAAAAAGTTGGGACAAATTGGGTACCAAAAATATGGTTATATATAGCAAAGGGTACCAAAAATATGGTTATATATAGCAAAGAGTACTAAAAATTATGTAACTATATAAAACAAGGTACTAAAAATTATGTATCTATTTTCATTTTATAATACTTTTGATAATGCCTACTAACATAATAGCTTCTAATATGGTCAAGACATCTAATGCTTTTAGACTGAGTAGGTTTACTACAATCAGTACAAGGATAACACCTAATAGCATTTTTATGAAGCCAACACCCTTTAGGATTCATATATGACCGACTACATATCTCTCCAGTATATAAAAAGAAATCGCATATATATTCACCTAACTGCATTTTTATATATGCTTAGTATATATTAAGTTTTAAATTGAACAAAAATATTATATAAGTAACAGATAATGAATTTCGTACTAGCATTTATATACAAATTCATGCTAATATTTTACTATGGTAGTACATACATATAATAGATGTGGAAAAGATTTTCCTAAATTAGCGAAACTTCGTATATATCTAAAACAAAAAAATTCATGTAAACTTACCCAAAATCCTATACAGATATCTAATCTAGAAATAGAATTTCTTAATGCATTGAGATTATTTGATCCTCCAGAAATTGCTAAAACTATTCCATCACCAGAAGCTAAAAGAGAATATCTCGAAGCATTAGAAATATTAGAACCAATTCTGCAATTTTATCAAACTGATATTATTAGTTCTGGAAGTGAATTATTAGATGATCATTATAAAGTTGAGATAGGAAAAGAAAGCATATATACACAAGACCCTATCAATACTCTTGGGGTACTTAGAGAACAAATAATAAATATTTTCAATGATCGATTTGATTTTATGCATGGGTTCAAAACATGATTATGCCTCAGAGGAAAAATGAATCGATCAGCAAATTATCAACAGGGTTATTTGATGATAAAATAGAAGAAGATAATAGAGAAATAGAGTATAAAGAAGTTCTATTTAAAAATAAAGCAATAGTAGTAACTGCTAAAGAATATATTCCAAGAATTGTAGACGAACTTATTTGGAATATTGAAAATCGAATAGAAACTTATATTGCTGAAAGCTCAGGCTGGGTTTATGAAGTATCAGAAGAAGTAAATATTGAAATGCCAATCTTCGTTCCATTAACTGCTATTTCTCATCTTAAATTACCTAAAGAAATACCAAAATGAAATAATGGAATTATTATTAATATTAAGAATAAAGATAATCGATACTTTGAATGATGTATTTTAGAAGATTTATATCCAGCTTTTTATCATCGAGAGCAACCTCAAAATCAAAATCCTCATTTAGGAGAGTTAAATTTCAAAGAGATTCAATTTCCAGTAAAAGCTAACAATGATACAATGAAGAAATTTGAGAAACAGAATCCATCTATATTAGTATCAATTTATGGATGGAGTGAAAAGGAACTTATTCTAATTAGAATTGCTTCTAAATCCAAAGTATATAATAAATATAATCATAAAGAAGGAAATTGTTAACCATGTAAATTAATTAGGCTTTTATTAATTACTGGAGATAATCCCGAAACAGGAGAACCATCTCAACATTATTGTTTGATTTAAGGAAGAGAAGAATTAGGAAAATTAGCTGGATATACAACTAAACACAATGGCAGGTTATATGTTTGTGATTATTGTATAAGCTATCGAACCCATGACTTCAAGATTGATGCTCAGCATATGAAAGATTGTGAAGAAATTAATACTCCAGTCCAAAGAACAGTAATGCCATTGGTAGGCAAGAATATATATAAATTTAGACAATATGAATGAATGTTAGATGCACCTTTTACTTGTATAGCAGATGCTGAAACTCTTTCCACTCTGATTGAAAAAAATCAAGAATCAAAAATGACAGCAATCCAAGAACATAAAGTTATATCATTTGATTATATAATTAGGTGTAGTGATGACAAAACCAAAGTGCCAGTAAAAATTAGAGGTAACGATCCTGCTAGAGAATTTATTAAAGCAATGAAAAAAGAAGTAGAACAATGTCAAGACTTTCTCGCAGGAGATCATATAATACGAAATTCTGCAAAGAAATTAATTAAAATATTGCAATCAGGAATAATACCAGAAGAGATAGTAGAAGATTATATTACCAGTATTAATATATTTCAATCATG